GTGTGTGTGTGTGAGGAGATCAGCCCTGTGCTAACATCTGCCAATCCTCCTCTTTTTTGCTGAGGAAGACTGGCCCTGGGCTAACATCCGTGCCCATCTTCCTCCACTTTATATGGGACGCCGCCACAGCATGGCCTGCCAAGCAGTGCGTCGGTGTGCGCCCGGGATCCGAACCGGCGAACCCCGGGCCGCCGCAGCAGAGCGCGCGCACTTAACCACCTGTGCCACCGGGCCGGCCCCCCAGCACCGTTTTTTTAAAAGATTGTCCTTTACCCATTGAACAGTCTTGGCACTCTTGTCAAAAATCACTTAACCATATATGTGAGGGTTTACTTCTGGGCTCTCTATTCTATTCCACTGGTAAGGTACTTAGAGCAGTCAAAAATCATAGAGACAGAAAGTAGAATGGTGGTTGCCAGGGGCTGGAGAGAGGGGAGAATGGGGAGTTATCGTTTAATGGGTACAGAGTTTCAGTTTTACAAGATGAAGAGTTACGGAGATGGATGGTAGTGATGGCTGTGCCACATTTTGAATGTATTTAATACCACTGAACTGTATACTACTTGAAAATGGTTAAGATGGTAAACTATATGTTATGTGTATTTCACCAAAATAAAAAAAATGGGGGGAAAAAGAATAAATGATAAGGATACATCTGTCTGATATTTAGAATACCAAAGTTTTATCCCTTAACAATACATCTGATAAGACCAATAAGTACAAAAACAAAGAGTGTAAACAGAGATCAAAAGCAGAGCACCAAGACAAAAATTCTAATTTTAAACAAGCCAGTCTCATGATTTTTCTCAAGCTGCAAACAAAGATGCAGAATATGCTCTCCCATTTCTTAGAGACTTTTTTCCCCTTTTAATATAATTAATATCTTTGTACATATATCCTGGGTACTTTTATTTCTGTAAGACAAATTTCCAAAAGTGGGGTTATGGAGTTAAAGGTATGTCAGATTACTCTGCCCAAAGGTTATAGCAACTTATGCTCCCACCAACTACATTTGAGTTTTTTAAACTATGGTCCAGGGATGAGCTTCAGTGGATCCATGAACATTCCTGAAATTTGACACAAAATAGACTGTATACAGCGACATGTACATTTTTCTGGAACAGGTCTGTATCTTTCAACAGACTTTTTTTAAAATCTGAAACACAAGTAAGGCTGAGAACTAGTACACTATACCATCTTCTCCCTATGGCTTTGGTCTCCTTACACTTTCATTCATTTAGCAAACTTTCAATTGAAGACCTCTTTCTATCTGGTTTACCAAATATTAGAAGAATAAAGGTATGCATAAATTCAAGCATGCTAGGCACTGGGAATATAGAGATGAATGAGATTTGACTGCTATCTGCCAGAGCCTCACAGTCTCTGGGGACAGACAGAAGGGTGGAGATGGAGGTAGACAGGTACACCAGCACAATAAAATATCCCAGGCAGGCACTAAACCATGAAGCAAGGAAGACACAGTGTACTCGGGAAAGAGTGGATATTTCAGCCTGGTTAGATGACAGGATCTAATAGCGCCAGTCTCAGGAGATGAGGGTGATCATAGGGGAAGTCAGCCAATGTTGGTACTATACAGTCTTCCTCTTATGACTAAGTACCAATAGGCACAGCATTCCAGCTTCCTAGAGATTATTAATCACACAATTTCACACACAGTGAGAGGCAGCAATAGATTAAGAACATGGTCTCTGACATCACCTTCTGCAATAATTTTACCTTCCTGAGTCTTGGTTTCCCCACCTGTAAAATGGAGCTAATCACACCATATATCCTCTATTTTAAGGTGCACACTTTTTCAGATTTAAGCACTTTTCACACAGGTATAAGTGTTAAAACTGGTATGTATATTTAATTTTGTAATCTTTTCTCCCCCAAAATGTTGTCAGTAATACATCTCTTATTCAACAGGATCTCAGAAACAAGGAAATAGGTAATACAACACTAAACCTCAGTTTCCTCATCCGTAGAATTGAGGTAATAATTCTATCTAGGTCACAGAGTTTTGTGAAGATTGACTGTGATAAAGCACATAAATTCTTAGCAATGCATTTCTTTCCACACAGGAAATGATAGCTACACACATACACCGCCCCCTCCCAACTCCTGCAGGCATAAAGTGTTCATAGTGCCTATAATTCATTCATAGTGACTAAACGAGAAGAGAATCGGTGGTTTGGATGGAAGGGCTTTTCCATAAAAGACTGAAGAAACTTGCTCAGGCCTCACTTCTAACTTGGTATCTTTTCTTTGATTAATGGATTTCTGACAGGATCTGTTAGATCTTGGAGCCCCAGGAAGTTCTCCTGTTTCTGAGTTTTCTTAGATCTGGCTGATGTGCTCTTACCAGGCCTCTTATCCTTCAGTCTTCTCACCTTCTACCTGTGTCGCCGGCCTCCACTCCTGCCCCACACAACAGTCTCTTCACAACAGCACTCAGACTTATTCTTCTAAAACTTAGCGAGATCACGTCACTGCTCTCTTCAAAACTCTCCAGTGGCTTCCTCTTTCAGAGTAAAAGCCTAAGAAAGGAAAAAGCAGCCTCTGACATCTGGAAACTGGTCTGACCCAGCCAGGCCTCAGTGTTAGAAGCTGATCTGGCACTCACAGCCAGGCTGTTATTCTCCTGTTGGCTATAACAATCTTACAGAACACCAGCATCAGACAGGGCACTCAGACCATGATAAAATGAGACAAAACAAGGCCCCATCATAATTTCGTCCAGAGACAAAAACAAGGTCACTATGCAACCCAGGAAATACCCAACATCCTCTTCCATTAATATGAGTGACTGCTGCTTCTTTACCAATTACAGCTTTATCCTCACTCTAATTCGCCCATCTTATAGATAATATTTATTGAGATACTCAACATCAAAACTGACTATAGCAGAGCCATTTTAAAATGCAGTTGGAGCTGCCTTTCCAGCGAAACTGCCTTGCTGTCTTGAACGCAGGACTGAGCCAAACCTCCGGACTGGGCCAAACTGGGAATTGTTTTACAAGCAATTGTCTAAGTCAGCAGGAGAAAGGGCATCTGATCAAAAAGACAGAGGATTGTGGACTTTCTGAAGATAGAATCAATAGTCAATCAATGTTTAGCCAAGACTAGCGCTCTGCCTCCAACTTCAATCAAAATTCTTTGTAATACAACCTCCCTTCTTTGCCTTTAAAAGCCCCTGACTTTTACTCCCTAGAGAGACACTATTTGGGTTTATACCTGAATCTGTGCTCCCCAAATTGCAATTCTTTGATCCCAAATAAACACTTTGCCTCTTAAACTGGATTCTATTTTTGTAGGTTGACACCAGTCATAGAATTGTCCCTGATTTCTCATAGCACTCAATCCAAAGTGAAGCTTTGCTTCCTTAAACCCTCCCCCAAGTCACCCAAAGCTCGACACCTAAGCCTATAATAGGTTCTTTCTAACACTCTCTTACTGAGCTGTCTAAGGTTCTCCACAGTATCTGCTCCCTCACTGCAAGGAGTAATCAACCCACCTTGTTTAACTATGAGTGTGTTCCTGATGGTCTCTGGCTGGAGGGCATGGACAAGCCAGAGTCACGCAGTGGTTCCCAGACTTTACCATGCATTAGAATCCCCCAGGCTTGTTAAAACAGATTGCTGGACCCCCACCCCTAGAGTTTCTGATTCTATAAGTCTAGGGTGGGGTCTAAGAATCTGTATTTCTAACAAGTTCCCGGTGATGATGAGGCTGTAAGTCTGGGGACCGCACTGGAAGAATCACTGCCCTAAACCATCTGTGGCTCCCCTTTAGTCTGACTTCGCCTACTTCTGCTTCCTCACCTCTTCATTCTACTCCAGCCACACTGGCTTCCTTGCTGTTTTGAGCTTCCCCAAGCACATGCCTATCTTAGGACTTTGCTCTGAATGCCCTCTAATACGGACCGTTTACTCTGACCTCTCAAGGAGACCTTCCCTGATCTTCTAATCCTGCATTTTAAAAAGTTATTCCCCACAACATTTAATCACCTTCTAACGTGCGGTCTAATTTACTAATAAATTTATTATATTTATTGTTTTGCTCTCCTCCTACTAATAAAAGAATGACAGCCTTAGGACAGCTGACTTTTTTTTTCTGTTTTGTTCACTGCTGTCTCCTCAGACCCAGAAAATTATCTAGCAAATAGTCAGTGCTCAATAAAAGTTTGTTGAATGAATAAACGCTCCTTCTAGCCTTTCACTTTCTTCTCCTAATTGTTACAGCATTTCTGCCTTGTCCTATCAATACAATCACCCTTCTACCCCAGCCTCTCGACAGTTACAATATCCAGCTCCTGCGACTTTTTAGGCGGAGTGGCTCAAGCCAGATACAAAGCAGGTAAGTAACTTACAAGTCAAGGAGACCTAACAAAGCCAGCAAATTGCATCTCTTCGCCTTCCTTCTCCAGATGACCTGATCCACCAACCTACCTCCTCTCTCGTTTTCAAACTCTTTTCCTGTTTTTTTCTCTCTCTACCACCAAGGTTATGGCGCCCCCTCCTTAAAAAAAAAAAAAGGCAACCCCTCCCCCATGCTGCACCACCTTCACAGCGCTGTCCTCTCCCAGCTCTCTGACAAGGCTCCTCCTGATTCCGCTCTCCCTTTCTAGCTCCCTGAAATTCTACTTTTGGAGTTCCATTACCTCGTCCTTCCTAAATCCAGCTACAATTTTTGGTCTTGATCTTTCTTGATACTCTGAATTTAACACATCCTTCCAGAAACTCTCTTCCAGAACAGCATGAGTTGCTTCTACCTCCTTTACTGCTTCTCCTCGGGTCCTCCCTATTCTTCACAGATGTCCCCAGGTTTCCTTCCAGCAGGCCAGGGCGCGGTCCCCCGGGCGCCAGGGCGTTCCTGACGGCGCTCAGGGCTCCCACTGGAGTCGCGGTCCCGCTCTGGGCGGAGCCACCGCTGAGCCTGTCGAACGCGGCGTGTCTTTCCAGCCTGGGAAGGGGCGGGGCCTTGGAGCGCTCGGGAGGGTTTGGCCCTCGGCGGCCTCCGTGCAGGGAGCGGTGCGGAAGAAGGTCTAGGGACTGGGTCGCGGAACCCGGCGGGGGACCTGGCTGGAGATGGAGTTCGACTGCGAGATTCTGAGACGGCTCCTTGGCAAGGTGCGGGTAGCACGCCGGGCCGGGTCTAGGGTCCCGGGGTCTCCGGGGCGTTTCGACCCCTGGCCGGGTACCTCCCCATGGCGCTTCCCCGGCTCGTCCTGGGGTTTGGAGCCGAGGCGGGCTGGCCTGAAGCCGGCGCGGGCCATGGCCGCGGGCCTGTCCCTCTCGATCTCTTCCTCCCGAGGCCGGAGCTCTGGCTCCGCCCGCAACCCCGAGGTCCCCCCGACCTCCACCTGGTGTGAGACTTCACGCCACCAGCTTCTCTTGGTCTCAAACAGCTCCCAGCACTCTCCCGTCGCTTTAGCCACGCCTGTCTCTCTGCTGAAATGACCTGCCCCTTTTTTTCTTAACTAGCAACGCTCATTCTTTGTAAGACTGAACTCAGATATCATTCCGTGGAAGATAGAATCGCTTCCTTCTCTCTACTTCCTTTCAGAAATATTGGTTATGACATTGTGGAGTAATTATCTATTTACAAACCTTACTCATGCAGTGAACTCGGACGGCGGAGAGGGTGCTGTTGTGTTGCCTTCGCTTAGCACTGCGCCTGACAACAACCGAGGTGCGAAATAACTGTGCGCTGAATGAAAGACCGGAGTAGATTTAAGAATGAAGACAGGTCTGGAAGTCCCAGAAGAGATCATTTTAATGTTGAAAGGTTGAGTGGGAGGGCTGACCCAAAAGTCTGACCTAACCTCTCTGGGGCACGACTAGCGCCAGTTTCCAGGTTTCCATGACTAGCGCCTCCTGGTCCGGGCTCTCTGATTCCGCACCGGTGTATAGTCTGAGGCAACCCCCTTTTCACCAGTTTCCTAGTTAAGTGATTCTTACTGCCTCTTAAAGTTTCCCCCTGCGGAAAATTATGCCATTTTTGTTGGTTCCGCCTGTCTGTTTAGTTGGGGGCAGTTTGCAAACCTGTGCCAGGTTTTGAAGCCTCATGATTGAAATTGTTTATGTAATTGATTTGAGGGCCCACCCCGTGGGTTAGCGGTTAAGTGCCCTGGCTCCGCTACTGGCGCTAGGATTCAGATCCCGGGCTGGCACCGATGCACCGCTTCTCCAGCCATGCTGAGGTGGCATCCCACATACAGCAACTAGAAGGATGTGCACCTATAACATAGAACTATCTACTGGGGCTTTGGGGAGAAGAAGGGAAAAAAAAGGAGGAAGACTGGCAATAGATGTTAGCTCAGGGCCAGTCTTCCTCAGCAAAAAGAGGATTGGCATGGATGTTAGCTCAGGGCTGATCTACCTCACAAAAAAGAAAAAGAAAAAGAATTGATTTGAATGATTTTATCTACTGTGACAGGTGTAGATCTTGTAGGAAGAGAAGTATCATTATTAGATTTACACCCTTTTTTTATCTCCTCTTCAGAGAACATGAAATTAAAAGAACCACTCCATCAAGTTTTTAATGAGGGGAGCATGATGTATTGTCCAGTGGGAAGAACTGTTAAAGTTGAGAGTAGAAAAAGAACTTAATAATTTTGGTGGAACTGGAATGAAGGAAAAAGACTCAAGAGAGACAATGGTTTTCTCAAGGGTGGAAGTAAAATAGAGGAATTTTTCTTTTTATCATCAGCAGAGTCTGGCACATAGGTGCTTAATAAATATTTGTTGGATGTGTAAATTAAGGAAATCAGTTAGAAACAAGTCAGTCCAGTGTGGGGACCTGAGAATTGGCCACCTGAGAATGTGTCTTTTTGGTGTGAGGATTATTTTGGGCTGGTTACTTGTAAGAAACTGCAGACGGGAGAATCTCTGAAAACCAAGTAGAAGTTACCCTTTGTAAGAGACATTTACACTTGTAAGGGAAATCTCCATTTGTAAAGGTATATCCCTCTGTGTACCAGGAAGAGGGAGATGACCTTATCTCTAGAAACTCTTATCAATGCGGAAGGCAAGGACTTAAATCTGCATAATAACCTTACTCTTGTTTACTATGCTTTTCTGGTAATCTTCCATAACTGACTCTCCCCACCCCCAACATCCTCCTTTGTCTTTAGCTGAAGATAGTATTTAAGGTGGCAGCCTCCTCGGCCATTCTGACAGAGTTACCCAGTTTTCTTGGGTTTCTCCCCTGTATACATGTTATAAAGCTTTGATTTTCTCCTGTTATTCTGTCTCATGTCAATTTAATTCATAGCCCAGCCAGAAGGACCTAGAGGGTAGGGGATTTGTCTTTCTCCCCTACACCAGCAAATATTTCTGAAGTTCCTTAGCCCTTGCGCTCGGCAAATAATATAATAGCTTAATATCTAGAAATGATGTTAGTGCTGAAAAATTTGTGAACAGTGCATTAAAATCAAGCAACTGTATAGAGAAAGTGAAAAATCTTATTGAAAACAAATAAAACTTAATAAATATTGCAACCTAAATAAATATTCCAACTTCATGGATGTGAAGATGTCAGCTCTCTCCAAATTGATCTATAGAGTCTGTGCAATTTTATTTAAAATCCTAACAGGTTATTTTGGGAACTTTTCAAACTGGTTGTAAAATTCATTTGGAAGGGCAGAAGGCCAAGAATAATATTCACATTCTTACAGAAGAAGAGTAGGTGGGGACTTGCTCTACCAGATGTCAAGACTCGTGATTAAGATTTAGTGTGGTATTGGTATAGGATAGACAGATTAACCAGTGGAACAGACTAGAGGGCTTAGAATCATATTCACACATGTTTGGAAATGTGATATGGAACAGAAGAGGCATTTCAGATAATTACAGAAAGGAGAATGCAGGGGCAAATGGCAAAAAAATGAAATTGGATCCCTAGCTCTTACCAAACATGTGAATTCCTTGTGGATTAAAGATTTAAATGCAAAAGACAAACTTTACAATGTAGGGCAGAATCTTTATGGACTCAGAGGATACAAACATTTTTAAACAATACGTAAAATACTCAAAGAAGAGACCACTAAATTTGACTACATTCCAGTTAAGAACTTCTGTATATCAAAAGACACCACAAAGAGAGTGAAGAGGCAGAATACAAACTTAGAGAAGAATTTTGTAACACATAGCTGACAAAGTACTGGTATCCAGAATATATAAATTAGCACACCTGCAAATCAGTATTAAAACCAATAGAGGGGCCGGCCCCATGGCTTAGCAGTTAAGTGCGCGTGCTCCGCTACTGGCGGCCCCAGGTTCGGATCCCGGGCGCGCACCAGTGCACCGCTTGTCCGGCCCTGTTGAGGCTGTGTCCCACATACAGCAACTAGAATGTGCAACTATGACATACAACTATCTATTGGGGCTTTGGGGGAAAAAAGGAGGAAGACTGGCAATAGATGTTAGCTCAGAGCCGGTTTTCCTCAGCAAAAAGAGGAGGATCAGCCATGTTAGCTCAGGGCTGATCTTCCTCACAAAAATAAATAAATAAATTAGTAAATAAATAAATAAAACCAATAGAAAATCAGACGAAAGACATGAATAATCGTTTTTGTAAAAAAAAAAAAAAAAAAAAGAGGAGGGCTGGCCCCGTGGCTTAGCGGTTAAGTGTGCACGCTCTGCTACTGGCGGCCCTGGTTTGGATTCGGGCGCGCACCGACGCACCGCTTCTCCGGCCATGCTGAGGCCACGTCACACATACAGCAACTAGAAGGATGTGCAGCTATGACATACAACTATCTACTGGGGCTTTGGGGAAAAAAAGGAGGAGGGTTTGGCATGGATGTTAGCTCAGGGCTGATCTTCCTCACAAAAATAAATAAATAAATTAGTAAAAACAAAAGAGGAAACAGGGAAATGAATGTTTGCTCAATCCGTTAGTAGCCATAGAAAAGCAAATTGAGACCATGGTAAAACGCTTTTTTCCCTCACTAGATTGGCATAAATTAAGTTCAAATGATTTGGAGGATGTGGATGAATGGGAATTTTAAACACTGCTGGTGGTTAAATGATTATTTAACCATTTTGGGAAACAATTTGGCCTTATTTTATTAATTTAATTGTGTGTGTTTCTGTCTCATCTACATCTAGGTAGATACCATAGAGAATTCATAATATATGAAGCAAGAGACATTTTCAGTATCATTCATAACTAAAAATTAGAAACAACCCAAATGTGCATTAACAGAAGAAAGGATAATTTGTTGTATATTCACATAATGGAAAACACTACTACTCAGCGGTGAAAATGAATGAGCTACAACATGCAACAATACAAATGAATCTTAGAAACATTATAGTGACTGAAAAAAAATGGAAAGTTATATCCAAACTTATATTTTGATAAAACCAAGAAACAAAACTAAACAACAGTTCGTTGTTTAAGGATACACACATATGTGATAAAACTATGGAGGGCAAAAGCAAAGGAATGTAAAGACACCATTCAAGGGGAGCAGTTGAATGGGCGAGAGAAGAACTGAGACAGTTGTAATGGTATTAGAAAGATCTGTGCTGTCCAGTATGGTAGCCAGTAGCCACGTGTGGCTATTTAAATTCATCAAAATTAGACAAAATTAAAAATTGAGTTTCTTAGTCACACCAGCCACATTTCAAGTGTCAATAGCCACATGTGGCTTGTGGTTACTGTATTGGACAGCACACATAGATCTTTTCCATCATGGCACAAAGTTTTGTTGGACAGCACTGTTCTAGGTCATATGTGGGTGGGTTGGTGCATGGGTGTTTATTATTCTTCAAAATGTGTGTGTATGTACATATATGTATACATGTGTAGGTATTCTTTAGTTTGTGTTAAATGTTAAGTTTAGGAAAATTCTCTGGTTCCCTAATTCCTATTTCCCACTCCCCTGCCTAAGTTACCTTGGACAAGTAACTTAACCTAGATTTGCTTACTCATAAAATGGTAAGATTGGACTTGATCTGTAACATTCCTTCCTGCTAAAATTTTTTTATGAAATGATGCCACAAAGTATTCCTCAATGTGTCCTACATTTGAGCAATATCATATAAGAGTACTCTTGATGTTCATAAATACTGGTCTACTAAATAAACGTAGTATAGCAGATAAAGTTAAAATTTTAGTAACTTCTCAGATTTTCAGTCTTAACTGATTTTTATGAGAGTAGAATTAGTTTTAGAATCTCACGGGCCAATTTTTCTCTTTAGTGACATGCCTGTCTCTTTAAGCATGTAGCATTGTCTGAGGCACATTTCCTTAGAAAATGTTATGCAGACTTTTCTTATTTGGTATAGGAGCAGTAATGGAATATATGTTTTAATATTACATTAAGAAGATATTCTGTTTCATATATAGTGAAAATGACATGAATATTTTTTTCAGGACAGATAAAATAGGTCTTTTTTTTTTAGGTGTCAAAAAGGCAAATCACATATTTGACTGGTAGTGACATTTGGGTTTTCAAGCCCTAAAGAAGAGTACTTTTGCCCTCTTTTGACAAACTTTCATAGCAGTGTTGTAATTACAAGTCAGTTCTAGTACGTATCCCTCTGCAGCCGTTAATATTCACATTCTCACAGAATGTTAAGGATGTAGAAAATGGCTTATAATATTAAGTAGAAAACAAAACAAAAATTGTTTTTGTTATAATAAGTGTATATTCCAGGTGACAACAATGCAGCCTTTTGTACATTTGTCTAGTGTTTGGAGTTGGGATGATTTCATTCACTTTTGTTTACACTGAATCAGGGACACTGAGTCTGGGACTCATTTCACCCTGCTGTAGTAAATACTGATCAGTCTTAGTTTCGATGCCCAGTCCTGTGGATCATAATTGCTTTCTATATGTACCCTACTCATATAAATCTGCTGCTTTGCTAACCCCCATCCTATCAGCCTACGTTTCTTTTTTTTTTAAATACATTTATTTTATTACTTTTTTTTTTAATTATTTTTCCCCCAAAGCCCCAGTAGATAGTTGTATGTCGTAGTTGCACAGCCTTCTAGTTGCTGTATGTGGGACGCGGCCTCAGCATGGCCGGAGAAGCGGTGCCTCGGTGCGCGCCTGGGATCCGAACCGGGGCCGCCAGCAGCGAAGCGCGCACACTTAACCGCTAAGCCATGGGGCCGGCCCAAGCCTACGTTTCTTGAAGGTATACTCTGTGCTAAGTGCTGTGAGGAGATACAAAGATGAATAAGAGATGATTCCTGCCCTCAAGTTGTTAATAATCAGAGGGTTTTTCTTCTGCCAAATTCTTTCCCATGTTAAAATGACCTTCTCCCTTCCCTCTAATTTTCTACACCATTCTAGACTCCAAGGTGAATTATAGACAGCTCTTCCCAGAAGCCTTTCTGTAACTTAGATATGCTTTATGTCTATTCATTGTTTCCTGTCTGTACTTACTGTTGTATACATATTTTGTTTAATATCTCACCTTTACATATATTAATCATGACGTCCTAATAAACACCTGTTGAAGTTGATAGGCAGTGCAGCTCTATCTCTTTTGCAGATGAAAAACTTAAGGCTCGAGAGAGGAAACAGGATCTTTACCAGTCATTCCTCATTTTCTCCCCATCTCCCCCAGTCCTAGGCACCCACTAATCTACTTTCTGTTTCTATGGATTTGCCTAGTCTGGATATTTCATATACAAATCATACAATATGTGGCCTTTTGTGTCTGGCTTCTTTCACTTAACGTAATGTTTTCAAGATTCATCCATGTTTTAGTGAGTATCAGTTCTTTATTCATTTTCATGGCTGAATATTCCATTTATATCACACTTATTCATCAGTTCATGAACATCTGGATTGCTTTTACTTTTTGGCTATTATGAATACTGCTGCTATAAACAGTAGTGTACAAGTGTGTGTGTGGATGTGTTTTCATTTTTCTTGGGTATATACCTCAGAGTGGCATTGCTGGGTCATATGGCAACTCTGTGTTGAATCTTTTGAGGAACTGCCAGACGCTTTTCAAAGCAGCTGCAGCATTTTAGCAGCAGCAGTGGTATATGTACCTGAGGGTTCTGATTTCTCCACATCCTCTTCCACACTTGTTACTGTCTTTTTTATTATGGTCTGTCTTGATTATAGTATGAATCCTCCAACTTTTTTGTTCTTTTTCAAGATTGTTTTGGCTATTCTGGGGCTTTTGAATTTCATATGAATTTTAAGATTAGTTTGTAAATTTTTTTTTTTTATAATTTTATTTATTTTTTTCCCCCAAAGCCCCAGTAGATAGTTGTATGTCACAGTTGCACATCCTTCTAGTTGCTGTATGTGGGACGCAGCCTCAGCATGGCCAGAGAAGCGGTGTGTCCGTGTATGCCCGGATCCGAACCCGGACCGCCAGCAGCGGAGCGCGTGCACTTAACCGCTAAGCCACGGGGCCGGCCCTAGTTTGTAAATTTTTGCAAACAAGCAAAAAAAGCCAGCTGCGATTTTGATAATGATTGTTGATTGTTGAATCTGTTGGGAAGTATTGCCATCTTAACAATATTAAGTTTACTAATCTATCAAAAAAGTTTGTCTTTCTATTTATTTAGATCTACTTTAATTTCTTTCAACAATGTTTTGTAGTTTTTAGAGTCTAAGTTTAGTATCTCGTTATTAAATTTATTCCTAAGTATTTTATTCTTTTTGATGCTATTGTAAATGTAACTGTTTCCTAATTTCATATTCAGAATGATAATAGACTCTTAACATACTTTTGTTTTCTTTCATTTAATCTTCAGCACAAATCTAGGAGGTGGTTCTTATTTCTCTTTGCAAATGAGAGAATAAGTTCAAAGAAGTTAAATGATTTTTCCCACAGGGCAACCAAGGCAGTATTCCTGGGAGTACATCTGGATGAATGAGGAGGCTGTTCACTCAGCCTGACTACAAACCCATGCATGCTTTCTGTTCTCCCTTTGAAACCCAGGATACAGTACCAGGAGGGATGGAAGGGGTATGCAAGCTGTCTCAAGGGAGTGAGGTATCCAAGAATGAGAGTTGCATCTTGAACAGTGGTGGCAGGGGTCATATATGCTGCCTATTTCTTAAGCCTTCAGGAGGTATTTGGAGCCATTTGATTTAGTGGTGAAGGCCCAGGTCCTGGGTTTGAGCTCTGGCTTCGCTACTTAACTTGCTGTCTAACAGCAAGTTATTTTGATTCTCTAGCTTTCATTTTCATCTTCTGTAAAGTAGAGCGGTAATAAACCCCATCTCATATAAGCCCTGCTTCATAGGGTCATTATTAAAAGGATTAAATCAAATACTGTTCATGTTTGTAAAACTCAGAGCCCAGGGCCTCGCACTGAGTAAGTGTTCGGTAAATGTAATTGTAATTGTTGTATTGCTTATAGCTTTATTCTTATTCCATGCTCATTTTTTTCTCTTTTCAGTACAAGTTCAGGGATCTAACTATGGAAGAACTAAAGAACGTAAATATGTTTTTCCCACATTTCAGATATTCCATGGACACATATGGTAAGAATTGTATCCTCTAGTTTTGTCTACATTATTTAAACTATTAATTATTTGTTCTTAGAGAGCTACAAAATTTTAATTTCTCATTTTTCTCTTGTTTCCTAATTTTGAGCTGCACTTTGTGACCTGTGATTTCTGAGGAAATTTAAGTTAATACAATTTATATTGTATTAGTTTTCTATTGCTGCTGTAACAAGTTAGCACAAACTTAGTGGCTTAAAACAACACAGATTTACTGTCTTACAGTTCTGTAGGCTACAAGTCCAGCACAGGTCTCTGTAGGTTAGAAGTCTGGGCTAAAATCAAGGTGTTGGCTGGTCTTAGTTCCTTTCTGGAGGCTCTGGGAGAGAATCTATTTCCTTGCCTTTCTCAGTTTCTAAAGGTCACCCACATTCTTTGGCTCGTGGTCTCCTTCCTCCATCTTCAAGCTAGCAATGTTGCATCTCTCTGACCATCCTTCTGAAGTCACATCTCCAGGGAAAAGGTTCTCTGCTTTTAAGGACCAGTGTGATTAGATTAGGCACACTCCAATAATACAGGATAATTTCCCCATCTGGTCCTTAAATTAATTGCACCTAAAAAGTCTCTTTGCTGAGTAGGGTAACATATTCGCAGGTTCCAAGGATTAGAGTATTAGACATCTTTGGAGGCCATTATTCTGCCTTCCACATACATGGTTGATTCTAAATTATTAATAACAAAGTTTTAGTTATCTTGTTCACTTAATACTATTGAGGGTCTGATTACCTAAGAGAGATTTTACTTTACTAACTTTCAAAAATTTCTAACCGCAACCAACACTTGGAAATACATGTTATATCATGACCCCATGTACACATAACTAAAATACTGTATACACTCTGGCATTTTCTCTTCCATTTCATTTAAAAACAAATGCTAATTGGGACTCACTCAATTGATTTCAGGATCCATGAATTAGCCAAAATATACAGTTTTGAAAAACTTCTTTATTTTACATGGGTATGTGTTATATTTGAATTAGTTTGGGTTAAGAAAAGGTATCTGGAGCCGGCCCAGTGGCACAGCAGTTAAATTCGCATGCTCCGCTTTAGTGGTTCGGAGTTCACAGGTTCAGATCCCGGGCGCGGACCTACGCACTCTTATCAAGCCATGCTGTGGCGGCGTCCCATATACAGTAGAGGAAGATGAGCATGGATGTTAGCCCAGGGCCAATCTCCCTCAGCAAAAAAGAGGAGGATTGGCAACAGATGTTAGCTCAGGGCTAATCTTCCTTACAAAACAAAAGTATCTAATTCAGATTTATATATTAGAAAATTTGAGAAATTATTGAAGTACTTCTTAGGAATAGCTAATTTTTTATGTGGAAGAAATGATTTGATTCTGGCCCATCAGTGACTGGCCCCTTTTGATTAGCACCTAGTTATCTGCTGCTACATAAATGCCTGGGATGGGGGATGTAGCAGCTACTATTTATTGAATGCCACATATGCTTCCAAATGTTTTCTCTATGTTATTTTACATATTTTTTACAAGCAAAGCTGTGAGGTAGGTATTATCATCTTCATTTTTCAAATGAAGAAGCTGAGGCTCAGAGAGTTTAAATACCTTGCTCAAGGGCCGGCCCCGTGGCTTAGCGGTTAAGTGCGTGCACTCCGATGCTGGCGGCCTGGGCCGGGATCCCAGGCGCGCACCGACACACCGCTTCTCTGGCCATGCTGAGGCCGCGTCCCACATACAGCAACTAGAAGGATGTGCAACTATGACATACAACTACCTACTGGGGCTTTGGGGGAAAAATAAATAAATAAAATTATAAATAAATAAATAAATAAATAAATACCTTGCTCAAGATTACGTAGCTAGGGGCCAGCCCGGTGGCGCAAGCAGTTGAGTGCGGTGCTCCGCTGTGGCGGCCTGGGGTTTGACGGTTCGGATCCCGGGCGCACACCGAGGCACTGCTTGTCGAGCCATGCTGTGGCGGTGTCCCATATAAAGTAGAGGAAGATGGGACCAGATGTTAGCTCAGAGCCAGTCTTCCTCAGAAAAAAGAGGAGGATTGGCAGATGTTAGCTCAGGGCTGATCTTCCTCGCACACAGAAAAAAGATTACCTAGCTAGTTAGGGATGGAGGTGGGGTTTGTACCCTTGTCCATCTTGACCTCCACTTGAATACGGCTTGTTCTTTTGTAGTGGCTCTCTTCATCATGTAGATTTAAAGCTTTATTATAGCAGTTAATTCTTTTTTTTTTTTTTTTTTGTGAGAAAGATCGGCCCTGAGGTAACATCTGCCAATCCTCCTCTTTTTGCTGAGGAAGACTGGCCATGGGCTAACATCCATGCCCACCTTCCTCCACTTTATATGGGACGCCACCACAGCATGGCTTGCCAAGCGGTGTGTCGGTGCACCCCCGGGATCCGAACCTGCAAACCCCGAGCCGCCACAGCGGAGCACGTGCACTTAACCGCTTGCACCACCGGGCCGGCCCCTATACCAGTTAATTCTTATTCTCCTTTCCCCTGTCTAGAGAAAGTGAGCTATGGTGCCATTAAACCCCCAACAATAATACTGTCAATGTACATTACATTATTGAAGACAATGATAGTCACACATCATAATCACTTCTGTTTTAGCTTTTGAATAATTTGATTGGACAATGAATATTTGCACCTATAGTTTCTCTGCCACATTTCTAGGTTTTTCTGTGTCCTTGAGTAACAATCTCTGTTCCACTCCTCTTTCCATTTTGGTTTTTGCCACAGAGTGATCCCTTTACCCATTGTCACCTTTTGCTCATATAGTTCAAGGTAAACAGTTGTGCTTCTGTACACTCTTGGCCTTGAGTTTTCTGTCAGCCTGATTTCCTCTTTTCCCTTTCTAATAGATCATCAAATCTATTTAGAATTTTTTCTTCCACTGCCTAAATAGTCTAGTTACTGAGGTACTGACAGGACTACATTCCAAGGCAGTTTGATAGTTTGAAACCAGAGATGGTGTTTTCTGTATTCAGTTCAGAGATTAGAGCATTAATTCTCCACCAGTGTGTCCCAGTTATTGATTGGTAAATTGAAATTTAAGGGATGTGAAGGTTAACAAAAGGTCGAGAATAATGGAGTTAGAGAAACCAAAGAAGATAATTATTGATCTTTCTAAAAGGTCACTTTAAAAAATAAATCTAACATTTTTTTCTGATTATAAAAGTTATAATCTGACTTCTGAAAGTGATTATAACTGTTTTATTACATGTGACAATTATTTGATAATGTCCCCACATTTTATAATCCTTATTAAACACTTTCACATTATCTCATTTGATCCTTGTGACAATTTTATGATGCAGTCTTATTATCTTTATTTTACAGATGATGAAACTGAAGGTCAAAGAGATTAAAGTAACCAAAAGTCACAGGCCTCTAAGTGGGGAAAGTGGGCCTAGAACTTGAGGTTTCAGTATCAAAGTCTTGTGTTCTTTTAGTTACCCTCTCTGGTTTCTAAGAAAACAGCATCTAGCAATTTCCCCTTGATGATTCCTAGATGATGGCATTTAGAAGTTATGTGTGCTTCTGTGTGTGCGTGTATGCACGCATGCACTTTAGTACAGTTCTTCCTACTTCTGATTGCACATTTTGGGGCCTTTTTTTCTTCTAGTTTTCAAAGATAGTTCCCAGAAAGACCTGCTGAATTTCACTGGCACTATTGCTGTGATGTATCTTGGTAAGTGTGCAAGTTGAGAAAATGTGAGAATTTTCTAAAAGGGCAGTTTAATAAGAACTTACATTTGTTTCGTGCCATAGCATTCTCAAAGTGTTTTCACATATATATGGTCTATACAGAATGTTATTGGATATAGCAGAATGCTGTCCTAGTCAAGGAAGGCCTAAATTAATATCAACAAATTCAGTTCAACAAATACTTATTTATTGAATGTCAGCTATGTGCCCACTACTCTGCTAGGTGCTGGGGTACAGAGGAGAGCAAGATAGACATAGGCCTGCTCTTATGGAGAGTTGTCTCTGCTTTCCATAACAGACTGCAGGAATCCTACCTTTTTCTCCATTACATCAGTGTTTTGTTCCCTCCCTTTCCTTCTGTATGAGGTAGCATTATCCCCATTCTGTAGGTGAAACTGAATCTTAGCCTGGTCAAGTGATTTACCTCAGACCACACAGCTGGTGTCAGGCTGGAACTTCAAATTTTAATAGGAAAATTTTAAAATATAGGGGCCATTAAAGCTCAAAGGAAGCAATATATTTTCAGATGACCTGGCAGGTTAAAATAGCTGTGTTTGCCTAAAAAGAAAAAAAAAAAAATCACTAACTTCTCTATACTTAACTATTCCCATTTGTCCAGACCTACTTCCTCCAACATTCAACAGGACTAACCTTTCAGATAGTTATTGTAGGAGACTGCTTATATAATATGATTTGAAGAACACCAGTGGTTCCAATGTATCTCTCTAAAGTGGTACCTGAAATTCCACCATTAAAAATCCGTTCCTTGGTGCTGGCCCCGTGGCTTCGCGGTTAAGTGCGTGCCCTCCGCTACTGGTGGCCCGGGTTCGGATCCCGGGCGTGCACCGAGGCACCGCTTGTCCAGCCATGCTGAGGCGGCGTCCCACATACAGCAACTAGAAGGATGTGGAACTATGACGTACAACTATCTACTGGGGCTTTGGGGAGAAAGGGGGAAAAAATGGAGGAGAATTGGCAATAGATGTTAGCTCAGGGCCGGTCTTCCTCAGCAAAAAGAGGAGGATTGGCATGGATGTTAGCTCAGGGCTGATCTTCCTCACACACACAAAAAATCTGTTCCTCTTTTAAAATGCAGATAATCCTGGGAGGGATAACATCCCAAATCACTAATACAGAGTGCTGTGCTTATAGAGAATGCTTGGTAAATATTTGTTGAGTGATTGATTTAATTTATTTGATCACTGACTGAAGGGCTTAGGAATAAATGAACTTACCAAGCATTTGAAAACGGAGGTGCATGGAAAAAGTGCTGAGGAGGATTTGGAAACCAAATGAGGAGAGAACTGTGGAGTCTGCTATCTCTTACAAAAGATTCAGCACTGTATGATGGGAATACATTGCCCAAAAGACACCAAGAAGCTGTATTTTGGGGGGCTTTTTTCAAAGTAAGTCCTTCATTATGGTAGTTCCTAGACTGTTATAAACTTTCCTTAGTTTCTTCATCCCCATGACTTATTGCCAGAGGTGTACTCGTGTTTTGTTCTGCCTCTGCTTATGTCTCACCAGGACACCTCCTTTGGTGCAGGAAATGCACAGGAATTCAGTTTGGTTTTTACTCATAGGAGTGTGCTTGGAGATGAAAGTAGGTAGCCTTGGGCTCTGCAGAAATTGCAGTGAGGTAGGCAGAACAGACATAGAGTTGAGTTTTATTTTCCTTCTTTGCTCCTCTCCTGCCAAGCTCTCAGACTGTTTTCTGGCTGCCTAGAGAACTTTACTCAGACCTGTTCCCCCTTACTTGTGTTCTGCATTTATTACGCTTAGATGTTAGAAAGAGAGAGGGAGAAAGAATTCTTACCCACTCACATGATTAATTGATTGATCTTATTCACAATTCTTACCCACCCCAGTGATTTCAAGGGTAGCTGCATATTAATAGGGGAGATTATTAATTTAAATTAATCATTGCTTAGTAGCATTTCAGTTTCTAAGACAGTGTGGGGAGACAGGAGGGCATAAAAGTTATCTTAATACCACCAGTAAGATGCCCATCATTGGTGCTCTGCCTGTCCTAGAGCCATGGAGTTATGTCCTTGATTCTTATGCTGGGTCTTTCAAGGTAGTAATGGTACCTGCAATACGTCTTTCTTTGCAGTACCTTTTTTTTCCTTTACTTTTGACTAGAATTATATCAACTCAGTGTCATGCACGCTAGTTATTTCCTGCTGATCAGAAGGTCAGAATGTATTACCTTTTTTGCCTGAAAAATGGGCTAATAAGAGAGCCTAACTCTAGAATTGTGAGGATTAAATGAATTATTTATGAGTAAAGCTCTTGGCCTAGTGCCTGGTACATAGTAAGTGCTTAATGATTGTCGGCTATTATTATTTGTCTACCTATATTTCTTTTAGTTACTAGTTTTGTTAGTATAATAATAATACATGCTCATGCTAAAAAAATTTAAACAATTGAGAAGGGATGAGGTTATGCTTATATCTAACCTCCCAGTCAGTCCTATTCCCTCGATGAATCTTCTTGTTCATATTTCCTTGTGTATACCTGCAGAATTTTCTGGATTATTTCTTATCATTCCTCCAAGATTGTGTCAATGTTGTGATTACACTTTTTCTTCATCCACCCATTCTTTAGAGATGTGTATCATCTTAATAAGATGATACCCATCTAAACTTTATTTACAGCTAACTTAAATTATATTCTTATTATATAATTACTTTAAATCTGAGGGGTTCTGACTCTTTGGTAATGAATTACCGAAAGCTAAATGGGCAGGGTAGGAGGCAGGGCATTTGCTGACAGAAAAGAATGAGAAAGAAGGAAGGAAGAAGAGAATAGAGAACACCAATCATGAAATCTTAAGAGTTAGACACAGGCGTCAGGCTCACCAGGTGCTTTGCCAGGCTGGTGTGTATGCTGCTGGGGAGGGGCATTGATGGAGCCAGCAGATCCTTGATCACCCAGGAAGCTAGTACCTTCAATAGACATTTCTTTCTTTTTCTTTCATGTGTAGTGATTAACACAAAAAGTAACTCCATCGGGATTTGGACCACCACTCCAGCCCACTAAATTAATTTCATGACCCATTTATTGTGACCAACATTTGAAAAACACTGGTCTAGAGTATATAACATTAGACATAGTAACTTCTGGAGGAATTCGATGGTGCGTCTCAGTACCTGTCGGTCACTTTGTGGTGCTATGATCATAGAGTTATCTATGGCCCAACAGCTATGCCATACCCATATTGTAAATACTTGGACGCTCTGTATGGTGATAGATGTTAACTAGATTATTGTGGTGATCATTTTGCAATATACACAAATATTGAATTATTATGTTGTACACCTGAAATTAATATAGTGTTATATGTCAACTATACCTCAATAAAAATTTTTTTAAATACTTAGACAAAAGTAGAAGAGGAATATGGTTCTGAGAACTGCTGATATAAGATAGTAGACGCCAGGTATTAGGACATTTCTAAACTTTTTTTTTTTTTATAATTTTATTTATTTATTTATTTCCGCAAAGCCCCAGTAGATAGTTGTATGTCATAGCTGCACATCCTTCTAGTTGCTGTATGTGGGACGCAGCCTCAGCATGGCCGGAGAAGCGGTGCGTCGGTGCGCGCCCAGGACCCGAACCCAGGCTGCCAGCAGCGGAGCGCGCGCACTTAACTGCTAAGCCACGGGGCCGGCCCCAGGACATTTCTATAATGTACTGATTTTCAGTCCTACCTGCACATTAGAGTTATGTGGTAAGCTTTTAAAAAATATTGTCTAGACCCTATCCCATTGAATCAGAAACTTTGGGGGAGTGGCCTGGATATTGTTATGTTTCAAAGTTCCTTAAGTGTTTCTAATGTGCAGACAGGGCTGAGTATCATTGTGCTTAGGGGAGGAGGAAGCAAGATGAAAAAGGTAGTTTTCAGTGGAAGGAGGATTTCCACAGTAAGAAAAGGATTGCAGTGGAAAAGAAAACTATTTTTATTTATACCCGGCCTATTTCCAAAATGGGTTTGAGGTAAATTGCAAAAATTGCCAACCCTTCGGGATACTTACCATGTCATGTACTGTTCTAAGCGTTTTACATACATTAATTTCAGCCTCACAACAACCCTCTGCTATTATTATTCCCATTTTATAGAGGAAAGAATTGAGGCACAGAGAATGTAAGTAACTTGCAGGAAATCATGTAGCTAGTAATATGTTGAACTAGGATTTGAACCTAGGCATTTTTGCTCCGGAGCAGCCATGTTCTTAAGTACAGTGAAAGATATATGCAGTAAGACTATGAAAGCAGGAATAAATATCAGGAGATACAATAGAACAGCTAATGCAGTTTATCAGATTTCTAGTTTAATTTTTGCACTTATATTAGGTTTAGCTTTGGACTTCCTGGCAACCAAGGCAGTCAGAGATTTTGGCTCTTGGAAGGCATGATGTACATGGTTGCAATTGGAAGAGCGTGCACTCGGGTTCCCATCTCCGTACACTAAAATGTAAGAACCCCTGGACGAGGTGATTGTTAAGGCTATTTTCAGCTCTAAGTTCTATATGTCTAACCCAGCTTGTATGTTATAGTGTCTGCAGTTAATGAGCAACTTGAGGGCCAGTATCAAATTCATCTTTGCTCATTCATTCATTTTTCATTTATTTATTCATTCATTCATTCTTATTTATATAAGAAACTTCTATTGTGTAGCCAGTATGTTAGGCACTATGCTTGGTGCAGGGGATATAGAAATGAATAATATGGGGCCAGACCAGTGGCGAAGTGGTTAAGTTTGCACGCTCCACTTTGGTGGCCCGGGGTTTGCGGGTTCGGATCCCGGGCACACACCTACACACCACTCGTCAAACCATGCTGTGGTGGTGTCCCACATACAAAATAGAGGAGAATTGGCACAGATGTTAGCTCAGGGTCAATCTTCCTCAAGCAAAAAGAGGAAGGTTGGCAACAGATGTTAGCTCAGGGACAATCTTCCTCACCAAAAAAAAAAGAAAGAAATTAATAATATATAATCCTCTCTAGAAGTTTACAATGTAAAAGGAGAAACAGACCTGTCGGCAAATAACTTCAGTGCCAAATAAATATAAAAATAGAAGTGTCCACTACCTATTAAGAAAGATGTGATAGCTGTGCTTGAGGGGAGCAAAGAAGGTTACATAGAGAAGATGCTGTATCCCAAACGCCTGGCACAGTAGGTCCTATAAATATTTATTGAATTGAATTGGATGAGCTGGCCATTGTCTTAATTAAATTTCCTCAAATGTTATGCTAGTACTTTAATGGGAACGTATTTTCAATGTGACTGTGGATGAAAATGGGGAAACATGCCTCGATTTACATAAATTCTTTGTATGTAAACTTGACTAGACTATATGTCTTAAAATGCCACCTAGCTGTACCATAAATATAACGTGTATGCTTCATTATTGTTTGACGATGTGTTTATTTTGTCTCAAATAGGTAATACATATAACATACCAATTCATTTGTGGATTTTGGATTCTCACCCTTTCGCTCCCCCCATTTGCTTCTTAAAGCCAACTGCAAATATGGGAATCTCAGTTGGAAAACATGTGGATGCTCAAGGCAGAATATACTTGCCCTACCTCCAAAACTGGAGCCATGTAAGATTAGTTTGGATTTTCTTTTAGAAGTTTTTGTTTTACTGAATATTTATCTTTGATCCTAATAGTACGAATAAGTTACTGAATTTTCTTTCAATGATATTCTTCATATGGTCTTTAAAAGTATTTGACAGAGGGAAAAAGTCAAATACCGTATGATCTCACTTATAAGTAGAAGATAAAAACAACAACAGACAATCACAGAGAGACAGACTGGATTGGTGGTTACCAGAGGGGAAGAAGGGAGGGAGGAGGGTGAAAGGGACGATTAGGCACATGTGTGTGGTGATGGATGGTAATTAGTCTTTGGGTGGTGAACATGATGTAATCTATACAGAAATCAAAATATAATGATGTACACCTGAAATTTATATAATATTATAAACCAATGTTACCGCAATAAAAAATAAATAAATAAAAAATAAAAGTAATTTGAAATTGAGGTCCCTGGCGTCACCTAAGTCCCAGAACGCTGATGACAGCAGCCTGCGTGAAGCTGCTCTCTCCAGGTCTGGGAGCCAACTGTTGTTCACTCCCAGCCTTTTTATAGTTGTTTGCTGCTTGATAAAGCACATGAAAAGCTGCTGGCAAGATATTGGGGCATTATTTCCTACTCCCACTCTATTAAAAATTCTTATGTAATATATGTATTTATTTGTCGTTTTGCCAGTTTTTGACCTTTATGTAAATTGAATCATACTGTATATAATCTTCCGTTGTGTGCTTTGTTTTAACTGAGCATTAAGTTTTAAAAATTTACCCATGTTGGGGCCAGCCCAGTGGCGCAAGCGGTTAAGTGAGTGCGCTCCGCTGTGGTGGCCCGGGGTTCACCGGTTCAGATCCCGGGCGTGCACATGATGCACCGCTTATTAAGCCATGCTGTGGTGGCGTCCCATATAAAGTAGAGGAAGATGGCACGGATGTTAGCCCAGGGCCAGTCTTCCTCAGCAAAAAGAGGAGGATTGGCAGGGATGTTAGCTCAGGGCTGGTCCTCCTTATTAAAAAAAAAAAAAATTTACCCATGTTGATGTTTGTACTGTAGTTTATTTGCTTACAAGTCCTCACATTATGCAATTTTATATTCTGCATTTTTCATCTACTGTTTTATTCAGCGTTTCTCCATATTAAATAATATTTTCAGGGGCCGGCCCCGTGGCTTAGTGGTTAAGTGCGTGTGCTCCGCTGCTGGCGGCCGGGGTTCGGATCCCGGGCACGCACCGACGCACCACTTGTCCGACCATGCTGAGGCCACGTCCCACATACAGCAACTAGAAGGATGTGCAACTATGACATACAACTATCTACTGGGGCTTTGGGGAAAATGGAGGAGGACTGGCAATAGATGTTAGCTCAGAGCCAGTCTTCCTCAGCAAAAAAATAATAATAATAATATTTTCAAAATATGTGGTTTTTAATGGTTGCCTAATGATCCAGCATAAGGATACTGCATAATGTATTTACAAATTGCTCTGTTGTTTGAAATTTAATGAGCATCCTTAAATATAAATATATATAAATTTACATGTTTGTGTATGTCTTTTAAATCTTTAATAATGATAAATCTCTAGAAATGGAATTACTGGATCAAAGGCTATAAATATTTTGAAGGCTATTATATATTGCCAAATTGGCCTCCAAAAGGTCAAGTACAGGGGATATAAAAATGAACATATAGACATTAGACAAAATATACTTCTACTATCAGTAAAAATCAGTGTAGGAGAGTACCTGCTTACAGCACCCTTGCTCTAGCAGAAGTATTACCAGGAAAACAAAACAGACCTTTGCTTATCTCTATACATTTACTTAGAAGGAGGTAGAATATGCTCTTGTTTTTGTAAGTCATTAAAATTTTTATGAACGGATAATTTATAATATATTTACACATACCCAGAGAGTTGTAGGACAGGAGGATGGGATATGTCAGAGTCGAGTGAGGTTGGAGTAAAGGATGGCATTAGGATTATCACTTCTTATTTTATATACATCCGTAAAAAGGTATGCAATTGTGGACACATTTTACTTTGTTTTTATAGTTTTCTATATTTTTCATATATATATAAAACCTTTAAAAAAAAGAAATAAGATAAGAAAGGAAGCACACCAGATTGTCAGTAGTGGAGTTTATGTGGGGAAACATTGACCTTTTATTTTGTGGACTTGTAATTATTTGCAATACTTGATTTTTTTTTTTTGAGGAAGCTCGGCCCTGAGCTAACATCTGCCAATCCTCCTCTTTTTGCTGAGGAAGACTGGCCCTAGGCTAACATCAGTGCCCATCTTCCTCTACTTTATATGTGACGCCGCCACAGCATGGCTTAACAAGGGGTGCGTCAGTCCACGCCCAGGATCCAAACTGGCGAACCCCAGGCCGCCACAGCAGAGCGCACGCACTTAACCGCTTGCACCACCGGGCTGGCCCCAATACTTGGTGATTTAAATAAATGATTTCCAGTTAAATGTAATGAATGGGGCATGATAAAAATTTGTCAGTTGGAAGGACAAAAATGATGTCTTGATCTTAATGTTTAGTTCTTTGGTTATTTGAGGAATTGAAATCTTTTTCTTATATTTATTGATTGTGTTATGTTTCTTTTTTGAATTAGCTCCTTCATTCGTGTGTGTGTGTGTGTGTGTGTGTGTGTGTGTGTGTGTAAGATCAGCCCTGAGCTAACATCCATGCTAATCCTCCTCTTTTTGCTGAGGAAGACCAGCTCTGAGCTAACATCTATAGCCAACCCTCTATCTTTTTTTTTCCCCCCCAAAGCCCCAGTAGATAGTTGTA